AGTGACTTGATGTGTGATGATTATGAGCAGCAATAAATTGTGCTCGAAAGGTGGTCATCAGTTGATATTACCTGTATAACACTACACTGTGTGATTTTGATTATTTCAATTGGTAAAAAGGAAAAGAGGCATTCTGTGAAAGTTTACAGGATTTCATCATGGGCTGACATTAGTTAGAGAACCATTAGAAAACCTGGGAGTACTGGACAGCCAGCTATTTCGTCCTAGTTTGCGACTCTTCTGCAGTACGCACCCACTTGGGTTCGAACCCCCCGTGGTGGGTAGACATTAATTTACGTCAATGTTTATGTCCCAAATATTGGTCGTGAGAAAATATGAACAAAGAGTGATTCAGCAAACAACCACAGCACACTTTGCGTAGGCGGATACAGTTAGCATATAGATGATCTGACATTCAAGAAACAGTCACAAAGACATGCAAGGTCAACTTTCTGTGAGAAACAACCAACCAGAAGACTGTGTTTGTTTGCTTGAATAAGCTATAATAATGTACATGAAAATCTACAAATACGTGTTGATTTCCTTAATAAACGATCTGTTGTTTGGCCTTTGTCGTCTCTTATTACAATAGGGCTTCAACAACAAACATATCTTTACTTTGTCCAACTCTCTGATGTCCTATTCAGTTGGGTCCACGATTGACCATAATCCGTCATCTGTCCCTCCTCACTACAAGATCTTTTCTCCATATCACCCTCGCACTGACGAACCACTCTTCACATGCCATTGGGATTCCACTCAAGCGTTGGCCTGCATTGCACGCAGTGTCATTTGACAGCCTCCTCAATATGTGCCCTATTCATCTTCATTTTCTCCTACATATTTGTTGTCACGTTTTACACTATACTGACGATGGTGATTATCAGTAATAATGGAAGCTAGCCTGTACATAACTACTAAGTAACAATCAAGAAATCAATCTGGAAATCTTCGTCACTCAGCCAGCATCAACAACAAAATTCAGTCGGATTTTCAATACAAACAACGTAAAGTCAGTCAGTTCTTCTATACGGATCAGAAACTTGGCCGGCGGGTCGCAAAGAATATTTCCAACAGCCTGTTGCAGACCCTTATTAACAACTGTCTTCGCCCTTCGCTATACTGAAGATCAGATGGCCAGGCCGGAAAAAATCACCAACAAGGAATTGTGGGAACAAACAAAGCAAAAACCACTCGCCCAACAAATATGCAGGAGAAAGTGAAGATGGATCGGACACTCGCTGAGGAGACCGCTGGGTGACATCACGCGTCAGGCCATTGATCGAGTGGAACCAGGCCGAAAGGGAAGCGGCGTGTGGGACATCAGTGCAAGGGTGATATGGAGGAGATCGTGTGAAGAGGAGTTGGTTGAAACAGTATGGAGTAACATTATGCAGGTGAAAAGTACAGAAGAAGACAGAAGCAAGTGGAGACGTGCAGTTGAAGCCGTATGTTCCACTAGGAACCCGAGGGAGCAATAATAATAAACTACTAAGTATTAAGTGCGTCGGTGGCACAGTGGTTAGGACTCTCGCCGACCATCCACGTGGTCCGGGGTTCGACCCCCTGCCGACGAACACCCGATATCTATGGTCGGCCTGCAAAATTTGGGCTACCGATATCACATACTGAAAATTCCATACCTGTACCAAAAAATACGGTGTGGAATCAAGCTGTAATCAAAAAATAAAATAAAATGTTTGGTTACCGGATTTCATCATGAGCTGACATTGGTTAGAGAACCATTGGAAAACCTGGGACTACTGGACTGCTATTTCGTCCTAGTTCGGGACTCTTCAGTTCATGATGAAATCCTGTGACCAATCAGCCAAATCCTTACAAACCAATACTTAAATAACATATTTACTTTTCAATTAGATCCTCATCTCACCCTGGCTCTACTCTAAAATGTGTATATAGCATTTTTGTTACTATACACAATGGTTTACCAATCAAGTGGCATTGATATGTCTGTTTGTTAACAATAATTAGTCACTGTCAAAATGTCAATGGGTTAAAAATAATTAACGAAGAAAATCAATACACACAATTAAAAAGTAGAAATGGTTAAAATAAATTAATTTTACAAGGTTAACACGTACTTAGAAATCAAGTGGTCTGAATAAATAAAACTGAAATAATTTGGACAATTATAATTTTAAAGGTTTAAGGGGAGGGGGGCGAAGTAGTCTTGTTTATACATTCATGTGACGAAGGACAAAGCAAGGGAAAGAAAGTCGCTGTACAAATGTCTTCTAAACATACAGGTTTGGCTTCTTCAGCTGTCTGTAGAAGACGAACTCGTAGAGCAAAATTAACATTAGTAGGAATGCGATCGATAATTTTAAATACTGTATTAACATCAACCTTATGCTCACTATCTACGAGGTGTGCTAAAATAGAGCTACGAATAGATCTTGTTTGTTCCTTGCTTAACTATGTTGGATAATGTTTGGAAATATGATGATAAACCTGCCTAATTGTACTCCCAATTAGTAACCTCTTTTTCTTGAATAAGTTGCTTATCCTGTTGAATCATTATGTGTAGGCTGCTGTTAGTGAAAACCTCCCCCCAAATGAGATGATTTGCATAGTACTGATGAAAGATTGGGAGACAACTTCTGAATTGCTGAATGACGACCAGCACACCACCCATATGAAGAAATTTAATACACTAAAGTGCGGTATCTTTTGATGGCTTAGACGAGAGGAACCTCAATCTGTAAATAATAATAATAGCTTTATTCCAAACAGTATTTGTGGTACAGGTATGGAATTTTTAGCGTGCATTACAATATATTGCATCTAATTACCTTACAAAAATTTTAGAAAGATTTTAAAATCAAAAAGCAACACAAAAAAGAGATAAATAAAAAACAACAGCGTTGCGTTTACATTCTAAACAATGCACCACAAGATATGAAATATGAAATTGTTGTGGAATAGAAGATGCGAACAACAGTGTAATAGTAACGAAGAAAGGAAAACAAAAACTAATGGGACTATTTGTTAGAGTGCCGTAGTAAGTTGATTTTGTCATACCTAACGATCAATAGACAGATAGCTAGCTATTCTTAACAATACTAATGTGTGGTAAAACAAAACCCGTTTTTTTTTAAAAAAATTAGTCGAAGAGGAGGTTTAATTGCGATTCATTTAATAAAGTTGATTAGAATAATCATCATCCATTTCACAAAATGAACTTGGCTGATTTGTCCAGTTTATAAATTGGAGTATCGTTGATTCTGTTTTAGATATAGTTCTCAATAGCACTACGTGTCATATATATTTGATTATAGTTTGAAACGACGCAGTATTTTTGGTACAATTATGGGATTTTCAGCATTTGATATCGGTAGCCCAAATTTTGCAGGCCAACCATTGATATCAGGTGTGCTTCGTCGATAGGGGATCGAACCTCAGACCATGTGCATGGTCGGCGGGAGTCCTAACCACTGTGCCACCGACGCACAACAGTACAGACAAAAAATATGGAAATAAAACCAGAGAATACAGAATAAATAATGAATAATGAAGATTTGTAATGTTTAAAAATTACAAAAACAAATGAATGAATATAAACTCCACCATTCTATAGACGATTCTGACTAACTGACTGACTGGTTTTAGCGTAGAACTTTGCACTGATGTACAGCAGTTCGAGTCGCTACACTCCCTCTGTGTAGCACACAAAATCAGAGAAGAAAGTAAAAATAAATGCAAAATAGAGACAGTAAATGGAGATTTGAGGCAAAAACAATAGCAATATCGAAGAAAAATATTGTTTTATTGGGTATTATAAGTCAAAAAGAGAGTGGATGCATCTGCACCACCATCGGGAACGAGGATTTTGAGCCATATCACAAATCGTCTCCAGCGACAATGGATTTTCACCATTCTGAGGACCACAGCCAGCCGGTCAGAAAGTCTACACCTTCTAACGTGGCTGACTTAAACTAATCTTTGTGGATTTCATTGACTGATGAAGCCATATTTTGGTTTGACCACCATTATCTAACTTTTTTCCAACCTGAACAATCCTATATCAGTCAGCTAAGATTGCCCGTCGAGGAAGGCGATAGCCTGGCATGCATGCGTAACACATGCCCTAACCATCTCAGTCGATGTAGCTTCACAGCCTCGTTGATTGACTTCCCCTTAATGCTTACCTAGCACTCGACCGATGTCTAACCTCAATATTGCTCAATCTATTATGCCATTTCACACGGGAGATAGGACTGAAGCATGTATGATTAAATACAGCCAGCTGGTCTTCTCATGTCTTCCACTCTCAATGTCCATGTCTCACTGAGAGCCATAAAGGAGGACGGAGCGAACTACTGAGTAGTACACACGTCTTTTGGTCGATAGCCAACTGGATATCACGTCTACTAAGCCAGAGACGGCGTAAACTGGCCTATGCGGAACTAGTCCTCTGTATCCGTGCTGCGATTGCGTCGGCGATCAACCTGTTGGCGTTGGCTGATGGAATTTCCCAAATAAGTGAAGCGGTCAACACTCTCAGCCACCACCAATTCACTCCCTATTCTCTAAGCTAGGAGTCAATGCACTCATAGGAACTTGACATTCTAATGGCTTTTTTTGATTTACAGCTTGATTCCACACTGTATTTTTGGTACAATTATGGAATTTTCAGAATGTGATATCGGTAGCCCAAATTTTGCAGACCGACCATAGATATCAGGTGTGCGCCGGCTTGGGCTCGAACCTCGGACCATGTGCATGGTCGGCGAGAGTCCTAACCACTGTGCCACAGACTTTATACCCATGTAACTCATAGCTGCTAGTTTATCGCACATAACAGATATCAAGGTCATTTCATTCCTATCATATCGATTATTGTAATTGACCCTTTTCTTTAACGCGGTATTATTGAAAGTCAGATAACTTCATTCTATGTTATGAATACTCTTGTCACCGATTAGCATCACCATCATTTATGTATCTTTTTCTCTCTCTCTTCCTTCTGATATGCACAGGTCTTCAGTAATTCTAGTGCAATAGCCAAGCATAAATTAACGCATAGTGAGGAGCGTAAATACATTTGTACAATATGCCATAAAGCATTTAAACGTCAAGATCATTTGTAAGTTGACTGTCCTGTGCCCTATGTTGTTTTTTATCTTAAGCTATTATTCTATATGTATCCCGTGAATGATTATTTTTTATATGTATGTATTATAGTCTTTGAAATAATTGAGATTTACAATCCAAAATGTGTATACTTTGTGTTCTCTTCAAGTTTTGATCCCTGACTAATCATGGACGTTTCACTATCAGTCTTTAAAATAATAATAATAATAATAATAGCGTCAACTGTAGCTTACACAGCAAGCAGCAGTTGTATCTCTATACAGTTGGCAGTGAGCCTACGTCTCAAGGGAAGAAATGCTTTCATCAGTGCCGTTGCCAGTCATCTCTTTGACACGGGTCATATGAGGTGGACGTCGCAAGAATCGTTTAAAATTACCAATAGGCAAAAGAGTTCAGTTCGCCTCGAAAGTCTGAAACCTGATTTATGCATTCCAAAACAAAAGCGGTTGTCATTCTTTCCTCGCCCTGGTAATCGGATGTTTTCATCCTCTCTTTCATTTGGTTACGTAACGCCAAAAAAATTCATTGTGTATGATTATTATTGTTTCGAATGCAGTGATTATTATTATTACCACTGTGCGCATACAATGATTGTCTGTTTAAACTTGAACTTTGTGCGTTTTGTAAGTATGTTAAAATTGTTTCTGCACATCAATTTAAGTGTCTTCAGGCTGTGCGTAAGTAACTGAGCTGATGAAAAAGAAGTCAACGAAATGCACAATGATGATATAATTCTATTCTGCGCAAATCACTGTTGTTTTGGCTTTATTCAAATTCATAAAAAGGAATCTCAGAATAGGAATGAGTTGTTTTTCATAGTTGTAAACTCGCTTTACTAACGATGACTTCTGTGCGTCGGTGGCACAGTGGTTAGGACTCCCGCTGACCATGCACATGGTCCGGGGTTCGAGCCCACGCCGGCGCACACCTGATATCTATGGTCGGCCTGCAAAATTTGGGCTACCGATATCCATGCTGAAAATTCCATACTTGTACCAAAAATACGGTGTGGAATCAAGCTGTCAATCAAAAAAAAAAATGAATGCCAACTACCTCGAAACCTAGGTCAAGTGAGGCCTTCATGTGGCCGTTTGCCTCCAACCATTTACTATCATCAAATCAATGTACACCGTGATGGTGAGCCATATTTCTTGACTTGAAGGCGGCCTTCGACTCAGTGGATCGAAAGGTACTATGGCAATGTCTGACTGTGAAGGGAGTGCCAAGAAAGTACGTTGCACTAATCAAGGCACTCTATTCAAACTCACGTAGTCGTGTAAGGGCTTATGGGGAATTGTCATCTGAATTGGTAACAACCAGTGGTGTCCGACAGGGATGTCCACTTTCCCCATTTCTGTTTAACTTCGTCATAGATATGCTAATGGAAGTATCCTTAACTGAACGTAGTGACTTAGGAATCGACTTGTTACCAGGGAATAATCTTATGGACTTAGAATATGCAGATGACATAGTCCTGTTAGGGGAGGATGCTCACAAAATGCAGAGTCTTCTGAACACCTTGAGCAGCAATCTTCGTATGTTTGGCATGCGATTCGCCCCTGCAAAATGTAAGATGCTGCTACAGGACTGGACCACGTCAACCCCTAACTTAGTGATAGGGAGTGAAGTGATAGAACATGTTGACCACTTCACCTACTTGGGAAGTTGTATTAGCACCAACGGACTGATTGGCGATGAAATCTCAGCACGGATCCGAAAAACTCGAGCTGCTTTCGCTGACTTACACCATCTCTGGCGTAGGCGTGACATCCGGTTATCAACCAAGGGACGTGTGTACTGCTCATCAGTTCGCTCCGTCCTTCTCTATGGCTCTGAAACATGGCCAATACGCGTTGAAGACATGAAAAGGTTGACTGCTTTCGATCATAGATGTCTGCGATCTCTTTCTCGCGTTATGTGGTATAATAAGGTAAGTAATGTAGACGTTAGGCGTAGAGTGTTGGGCAAAGAGGGAAAATCAATCGACGAGGCTATAAAGTTACATAGATTGAGATGGCTAGGTCAGGTGGTGCGCATGCCTAACCATCGCCTCCCCCGACGGGCATTGCTAGCTGATATAGGTGTAGGTTGGAAAAGAGTAAGTTGTGGCCAAACAAAAACATGGCATCAATCCATGAAATCCTTGACAGTTAAACTGAGTCAGGTAGGGAGATGCAGACTCCCGGGTTGGGGCCCTCGGGACTCTAGGAATCAATGGCTGAAGACAATAGGTGACATGGCTCAAAATCGTTGTCAATGGCCAGCGCAGATGTATTCAGTCTCTGTAATCTTTCATATTCCTTTCTACCATTACCCATTCTGTTTCACTCTTATACTTGTCAGACTGTATTGATTCTCTTCACTCATCTTCTTGTCTACCTCTGTGTGCTATTTGGAAGGTGGCAACTCGAAGTTCTGCACTTCGGTGCCAAGTTCTATGTTGAATCCAGACAGAGACAGACCTACCTAGTAGAATGTTGGCCACATTGCAACCCTAACTGATAGAATTCAGTCTGCGCCAAAAAGAAAGGACTAGACATACATCACACTTGTTATTAATGTAACTAAGTAAATGTAGCGCACACTAGTTACTATTGTGTAATCAAAGTAGGGGAGTAAATAATGTATGAAGCGTGAGTGATGTGTTATGCAACTATCCTGTTATCATCTCCGTGATATTTATCATAATACATGTGTACGTTTCTCATCGATTAATCAATTAATTAATTATCGATCGATTGATTGAATACAACTTCATTATGAATAAGATTTTATTCCGATAAAATCACACAGTGTTGTTATACAGTAATATTAACTGATGACCACGTCTCGAGCACAATTCATTGATTCTCATAATTATATAATAATAATTATAATAATTCCAAAACAGTACTTGCGATACAGAATGGAATTCTCAGCATTTCACTACATACAGTATTGCGTCCAGCCAGTACATTATCAATAAATAAAATTCTACATAGGTTATCGGTAATGTTCGGTTAGTTTTGACAACATATTAGCATGTGGGTAGCTAAGCCAAAAAGTGAACAGAATGTTTGAAGGTGTTAGAAAAGTAGATACTAGCATATTTACTTTGCTGGCGTAAGCGGTAGGTAACAAAAGGTCGAGATATACAGAGTGTGAAAGAACGATGAAGAATGTTTCAAATAGAGTTTGGAAGCAAGAAACAAAGCAGCACATAACAGAAAAAAAGAAGAAGAGAGAGAGAAAAGGAAAAGAAAGAAAGAAAACGTTGTACCTATAAATGATATGAGTTGGAAAGACGAGATCCGGTTGTTCTACTGACTATTTAATAAGTTAAAGGTTTCACGCCTAATGCTTTCTTCTTTGTCGCACAGAACACGAGCTATGTAGGGTATGGTTGAGTTTTTGTACTTCCTAGTGCGAGCATATAGATTTCTATATAGGCTTCTGGTTTTTTCTGATGAGATACAAGAGGGGGGGGGTTGTGAATGAAGAGGGTGGTGTGAGTCAGGTCACTCACACAACTTTCTGGCTTCGTTTATATACATGAGTGAAATCAGTTAGACATTTGAATAAAAATCAATATAGGATAATGTACATTCAGAAATAATAATATGAGTGTTATCCATCAAATACAATCAGATGGGAAATAAGACGAGTGTTTTTATAGTCGAAATAAGTAACTTGTTAGAATGTTATGATGCACGTGAATTGAATTGAAATAGAATTTTAAGATTATTTATTATCCTCCTTTGATTTGACTGATTGTTGGTAATAATATCTCCCATTTATCTGCTATTTGCATTGAGTCACTTCAATTGCATGTGTCGGGTGTAGACTGGATGAATCAGGACTCAGTAATCAATGTCTCCCTCTCCACCTACGTATATTTTAACTATAATGGAGTCATTCTGTACCACAGTGCCCAAGTTTTATACCTTTATTAATTGAGTAGTCAATTAAATTATTTGCCTAGATGGATACTTTCGGTCTACTCATGTGTTTTCCTCGATTCTTCTTTTTTGAACTGTTGATATCTGAAGACGATTGAAGGGGAATCCTTTTGCTGATTTGATTTTCGATGGTTTTCGGTGTGTGTGTGTTTCCATTCTAATCTCTTGGTTGCTTCTCAGGAGGAACTAATGAGGATATCAAAGCGAGGATCAACGGGAAAGCAAGACAAGCTTTCATTACTCTCAAATCTGTGTGGAGGTCGACAGCACTCACCATCAAAAATAAGATCCGGATTTTCAACTCCAATGTGAAGTCAGTCAGTGCTACTCACTATACGGATCAGAGACTTGACACCGCGTCATAAAGCGCATCTCAAACAAACTACAAACTTTCATTAATAGTTGTCTTCGCTCAATACTCAAGATCAGATGGCCAGCCAGAAAAGATCACCAACAGGGGGATCTCTGGCAATGAGCGAACCAACTCAGCAGGAACCGATTGTGCAACAAATCTGCAGGAAGAAGTGGAGGTGGATTAGCTGGCCATCCCCTGAGAAAACCATCGAATGACATCACTAGACAAGCCATCATTCGAGTGGAACCTCGAAAGGGAAGCGGTGAGTTGGTCGTCAGTGCGAGGGTGACATTGAGGAGGAAGTGATGAAAGCATGTGGGCAGACTTGGAGCGGGGTGGAAAAGTTGTCAGAAAACCGAAGGCAATGGAGACGTTTGGCTAAAGCCCTATGTTCCTCTAGGAATTAAAGTATATAATAATGATATATATATATATATATATATATGCCTGTAGTGTTTGATATTGACGTTGATAAGAAATTCGTATTCCTATATGATAAGAAAAAAGAGAGAGAAGGAGAGGCTATCTCATGCACGTGTTTCTAATTGTCACTCATTCTACACGTTTTATTATCATTATTATTACTATTACTATTATAATGAATCATAATAGTATTACTATGACTATTTTTTACAACTTATTCAAGTATTGCCTAAACAACAACATAATAAAGAACACACGAAATTATCATCTCTATAG